AATTCGGCTCTGACCAGAATCACCGCTAGAAAGTTCATATTTACCCCACACTACTACCTCGTCGTTTTACCCATTTGAGACGCTAAATTCTCTCCGAAAACCATATTGACAAAACGTGGTTTGCAGGCTTTGACTGAAAACCGGATTGATAATCATAATCAGATAAGTACGTAACGATAGCCGCGCCACCTAATTTATGATGTACTGAATATTGTGGTGTTAAATATAGCTGGTGGAGATGGGGTAGTGATAGAGATTTTGTACCACCTGCCTAGTATTGCTTGGTAGGTTGTAGATACTTCATAAATCAATTGTTAGCAGCGTTCAGTGTTGCGTTGCTGTTCCCGACAGAGCAGCCGATTGATATTAATACATGCACCCGCACCATACATTACGGAAACCGGTACGACAACAAAAGCGTTACCAAAAATAAATCTGCATTCATTGACCTATTCGTACGAAAATTGTATATCACCCAGCAATACGCAACCGGACCATGGCCATCATGATGCGTACCTGGAGGTGGAATGGGATGGTTGGATGTGGCAGGTAGCAAAAATATATAACACAAGATATTGAGTTTATGAAAGACGGTACTCGTCGATTTATTGTATTTGTATTAAAACACGAATCAAATGCTGAACACAAATAATGTCAAAGGTGAATGTAACACTGTGGTCAAGGGAAAAGGCCAAGTTCGCAGTACCGACAATGTTAACAATCGACGTATGTTAAGTCGCGTACGGCGTATATGAAAGAACTGACACTCCGGTCGTCGGACCGGTTCGCGGTATCGGCGGTCAAAACGTTCCGACGCCGTTGATCGTGCGTCGGCGTCGTCCGTCGTCGCTGGCGGTTGGATAGAGAAGTCGTTCCGCGGTTTTCCGCGTAAAGGCCGTTTGAATTCAAACGGAATATTACGCGGGACCGCGTCAATAGCGTAGTCAAATTAACACTCCTTCATCCTTAGGCGAAATTTAACGCTCGAATGTGCACGGAATTGACTTATTCGGTGGTTAAAACAACTCCACAGTTTTATGTGTGTATAGCCCCAAATTTCCATCTCTATGATCATCAACGTCATTCGTTTTAAGATAACCTTTATTATATATTTTGGGGGACATGTTTAAAAAAAATAATTGGTAATAACAACTATCTAATATTTCGCAAGTATGTGTAATGAGTATGTGAAATCATAGAAATCATACATTTTGATTTTAATGGTTTGACCTATCCGTTGTCTTTCAACTTATAGTTTATTACATTATAAAACGTATTTAAAACGGTTCTAGGAACTATATTAATCAGGTAAATGTTTAAAAAAAACAATTGGCAATAACAACTAACTAATATTCGCATGTATGTGGAATGAGTATGAGAAATCATAGAAATCATATATTTTGATTTTAATGGTTTGACCTATCCGTTGTCTTTCAACTTATAGTTTATTACATTATAAAACGTATTTAAAACGGTTCTAGGAACTATATTAATCAGGTACATGTTTAAAAAAAAATAATTGGCAATAACAATTTGAGTATGAGAAATCATATATTTTGATTTTAATGGTTTGACCTATCTGAGGTCTTTCAACTTATAGTGTATTACATTATAAAATTCGTAGAAGACCTCGTACACGTACATGAGTGCTTTCTTAAATTATATCCGTAAGAATAACAACTTAGCCAAAAAAGTGGTTATAACAAATCATGCTTATGGGGGATGAGGATTGTAAGAGGAAACATAGCATATAAGGAGACTAGCTAACACAGTGTACACAGTATACCTCATTGAGTCTACACCGTCCTCACGTCTCTTATTTTTGTACTCAAAATTTTTTCTATTTTTTATTAAATTTATTTTAAAATTAAAAAAAATGTCGTGTTATTCAGTTAAAAGTGATGATAAAGAAGAATGCTTTTCTACAAGTGATGTAAGTAAAAAAATATATATATAAAATACAATATTTAAGACTTAGTTTGATTTTAATTTAAATATTTAATACTAATAATAAATAATTTTTTTTTAAATATACAAATGTATAACATATCATAACATTTTTAACAAACTAGGTATTAACTAATCGCTTACTATATTTATAGGTTGAAATTATGGAACCAGTAATTAAATCGATGACGAAATTGACCGGACAAAAAAGGAAAGATGTGAAAAATAGAAAAACGTTAAAAAAAAAACCAAAAAAAGTGAGTAGTATAACATTTTATAAGATATTCAAAGAATAAATTTATAATTTGATTTTATAGAATATTTCTTATCAAGAAAAAGTTACCCAATTAATACAAAATGAAAAAATTGCAAAAGATGTTATGAATTCGATTACAATCAGACAAAGTGGAGGAGTTGTAACTATTAAATCGGTTGCTGATGAAAAATGTACTGATTATTGGACGTTGGCACATTATAAAACCAAAAACATTGAACATATTGATGCTAAAGACAGGTAATATATATATATATATATAAATGAATATTTTTTTTCTTTGTATTTACTTTGAAATAAAGTTAGTGTATATTAATGTAAAAATATGATAGAACACATTTATGTGATTTTAAGTGGAAACATGCAGAATGTTCATTAAAACTAGCGATAACAGACCAGTCGAAAGATCAGAATGTTTTAAGAGAGCTGCACTGAAAAAAATCGTTGTAGGTTTACAACAGAATAAGTTTGTTAAATCTCAATTGGTTTATACTACTTTAAAACCTCAATAGTAACTAAATAATGTGAAAAATTCAACCAATGTTTCGTCAAGAGTATTATTTGATTTATGTTAAATGGTTTCTTGTAGTGTGTACCAAGTTTCATATTATACTAAATATGTATCTTGTACCTAATATAACTCAGATAATCTAACCATATTTTTTGTTTCCCCAATCATAAAAATTAAAACGCAACTACAGTAAATTAGTAAACGATACTGGATAATTATAATAGTTTGATTGTTACTACTACAAAAAGGGTTTAAATCTCCAACCTAACTGTTTAATTGAGTTTAAAGATTTCTAGTAATTCCAGTAATAAAATTCAATACAATATTTTGTAAATGGTAATGCCAACAATTATTTGGTAATGAGTACAAAATAAATAATACGTTATACAAAAATAGAAAACCGATAACAAAATATAAAGGGAAAACCCATGCCTACGACGCTGTAACGGCCGACGCGCGACTGGCGGGCGGCGGCCGGCGACGGCTATAATATTATTCTTGTAAAATCATAGTATATCAAACGTCCTTCCTGCTCCTGCACTTCCGCGCGACCGTGTTAAGAGTTTGATTTGATTGATTTAAATATTCATTATTTTATAATTTATATTGACTTTAATCGTCACTCGAGTACTCGACTTGGATACGATTATACGAAGTTTTATTATATCAATTGACTATTACCTATATCTCTACCAAATTCATTATGGCAGACAAGGATGTGGTAGACTTTTTAAAAGCATGGGATCTTGTCAAATACATCGACACCTTCCGTGGTAAGTACCGATACAATACTACAATACAATAATATAATCTTTACATTAGTAGGTAAGTACAAACACAATAAAACATTGTATTAAAAACATATCATTGCAATATTGCACTATTTTTTGTCTATCTCGTCATGTAGGTAAAACACGTGTACACTTAATTATATACTTAGAGGTAGGTAACAAATTTAACAGTATGGACTTCTTCATTCTCGAGATGTGTCTATTATATTATTTATTATTATCATACCTATACCTACTGGTTTGAATTAATTATTATTTTTGTTGGTAAATCATGTATTTAATACACTATTTTGTCGAATAAAACAGACATATTCTTATTATTTCGATACAAATATACAATAAAATATATGTCTTACAATTAGAGTAACCAATAATCAGGGCTCGAGACTTAAAGCACTTAAAATCATGGCAAAATCATTAAAATAAGCACTTAAAAACATTATTATAAGCTCTCAAATAAGCATTTAAAAAACTTAAATTTAATCAAAAATATTTATTAAAAATAAAAAATGAAATAAAAAATAAAATTTAAAATTATTATTAGTAATAATAAAGTGGTAAATACTTATATAATATATTGTACCTACAAACTAAAAAGCATAATTTATCCTATTATTCCTATTGCTAAAACAATGTCTTAGTGTTTTCAAAAGGAGAAATTGTTCGGTTTTTGATTACAAACCTAATAGCATCTATTCTCATTTATAAATCAATTTATAAATCTTTCTTTTAAACAATTTTAAATTCTTAATTTGATTAAACTAAACTTATTTGATATTAAGTCTAATTATTTATTTAGTCTAATTGATATTGGGTCTAATAAGTTATTACTTATTAGTATACTCGTATACCTAACATTATGCTATACATTTTTTTACATAATATTACATAATAATAATTATTATATTAGGTACCTATATAATAAACAAAGAAAAAAATTTGTATTTATTTATATTGATATTTTAGTTGTGTAAGAAACGAGGTGAGAAATGTATAGGTATTACAAATTGTAATTATTTAATTTATATTAACTATCTATTTATTGAATTTATATTTCAAATTGTGAACTCATGGGCCCCAACACAAACATGTTCATTATCTTCTTGAAGAATAAAATTTATAAAAAAAAATAATAGTTTTTCCGTGTAGGTACCTACTATTACCTAAACATTTTTGTTGTTTGAATAGGTATTTACTAATGTCATTTATGCTATTACTATAAGAAATATTAGAAAATCTTTTTAAATAAAATAAAAATACAAGAAAGTTGTACCTTATTCTCAACTAATAAATATATATGATATATAATATATTACATATTTACTTCATGTATTCTTAGAAAATGACATTGATATGAAAGCATTGCTATTATTGATGGATGACATGATTAAAGAATTAGTCCCGATAGTTGGACACAGAACTCGTTTAGTTTCAAATTTACGAGAATGGAAAACCATAGTACAGGGGACAGCTGATTTAGTATGGATTTTCCAACTATCAATTTTAATTGTTTAAAATTCTAGTTATTCATAGTTTTTAAGAATTTAATTTTTATTTAAGGGTAATACACTTGATATTGAACCCCAAGAAAATATTGGAAGTATACTTCTCGAGTTATCAGAACCTGGAACTAGTAATTACACCGAAAACTATCAGCATAGTCCTAGTACATTAACTGTGAGTTTTTATTCAGTGGTTTGGGAGTATATGTTAGTCAGCACTATTTAAAAACATATTCTAATTTTAGGATATAACTCCGGATTTAACAGCTTCAACTTCATCAAGTAGTCTGGAGGTGGAAAGAACCGAACATGTTAGAGATTTTAATGCATCCTCTAAAAATAATGAAATTGGCTCAGAAATTGGTGAAAAAAGTGATTCGCTAAGATCATATGCAAATACAGTTGAGTATTATTTACTTTACAAGTATTATGGGTAACATCATACAGGAGCATAATTATTATAATATTAAATATACATAGATACTTAAATATTATAATATAATATATAGTAGTCTAGGTATATCATGTTAATATAATGCTAAAGAAATTCTTAAAGGGCTTCTTTGTTTACGGGACCCACATATTTCCAAAACTGACCTACTTAAAAACATATAGATTATCAAAATTAATCAATTTATATTAAAGGGTTAATACTTAATATGATGATTTGTATTACAATGATTTCATTATTATAACTAAAGCGCGGATTTTTATGCACTTAAAAGTATCGAAATATGCCATATAATATGCAGTAAAAATCATGAAAATATGCAGTCAAAATTATGAAAATATGCAAGAATTTTTTATTTATTTAAAATTTACAATAAAACTTATAATAATTAATTATTTAAATACTTAATAATAAAAAATTTAGGGAATTTTCTAAACTTAATTTATTTTTAAAATTGTATTTATTATTAAAATGAATAATCATATGCATTTCAAGTTTTTCTTCTGTGAAGCTGTATCGTTTATCGGTTTACATATTTTTAAAGACTGAGAACGAACGTTCGACGTCAACCGAAGTTATTGGGGCATATTTGAAGCAACTTAGTATTATCGGATCTTGATAAAGTTCTTTGAGCTGAACGTTTTCGCTTAATAACACTGAATTAATTTTTCGTAGAATTTTCAGACCTTCATTTTTATTGGAAAGCTCGTTTAATTTTGTTGTAAGTGTTACACCTTTCGATCCAGAAATAGAATGCATTTTTTCTTTCGTTTCGTCAATTATTGAAAAGCTTAGATGTAAAGTTATATTTCGAGTTTTCAGTTTTTTTTATGACTATCACTAAAAATGCCAAATGAGTAGATATAAATGTTAAATCATTCTACTTGTCAAAATATTATCTTATACACTTTTTTAAATTTTTTTAAATTTTCGCTTCAATATGCAATAAATTTTGAATTTTGCCAAAATATGCAAAAATATGCAATAACCTTTAAATATGCAGAAATATGCAAAAAAAGATTTCACCATTAGCTTCAAATTATGATGATTCGTGGAGATAACTGACAAAAATCCAAAAATATTAAAAGGAAAAAAATATGCAATTGCATAGAAATCCGCGCTCTAATTATAACTTTTGAGCATGTACCTAATTGAGAACTATATATTTTTACCAGGATTTATATGAATACTAAATATGAATATTTTTTTATCTAACCTAACCTAATTGTTTAGTTTCATTAATAAAAATCTTAATAATTACAATAATATTTGAATTTTACGGTGGTGAACACCTACTATACAGAAATATTAAAAAAAGAATTTAATTAATTAAAAATGTTCTAAATATTAAAACTAATTATGCATACATTATGTGTTACAAACACTAGAAATATTTCTTATAAAATTATAAGAATACTAAATAGTAATAATTTTTTCACTTATTTAGGAACTGTTAGATCTACTTAGAAGTGCTAACGAAGGAAAGGCATTATTAGCTAAATATCAAGAAAAAGGATTATTGGATAGCATAGGCCGTAGACGCTTGTGTAATTTGATCATTAATAAAGAGCTAAGAGATGACATCAATAAACGGGTTCCATCATCTAGGCTTCATGATTTAGCTTATCAAATCACGAATGTTTTTAGTAAAGAACATACATCAGTCTACTTCATTCCTTATCTTTCATATGGGCCTGGCCTAAAGAGAGCAGCGAAAGGAAAGTTGCTGGACTGCCTGAACAACAGAAGGCGAGACTACAGAAAATCTGGAATCATTAATGTGTCTCGTCGTAGTTCAACATCTTCTGGTCGATCTTCTCCGAATGATGTCTCTAGTGGGCTTCAACAATTTGCGACCAACATTAATCCTCTGATAGATAATGAAGAAAACTTGAAGTGGTTGAGAAACTCGAGTGATCCTTGGAAGTTGGTTGTAGAAAATTGGAAAATAACTGTTCATGTACGATTAAACAAGATTGCATCAAAAGATGGTCAGTCCATAGCTGAGTACATGACAGAGTATCCTGCTTTGAAAAAGCCAACTGGATATCTTCTTGTAAGTATGGTGTTCAGTATTATTTTTTTAGCCAATATTTAAACAACACAATTTATGAATAGAAAAATTATATGTGAATAATTATTTTAAATGATCTAAGTGTTAAACAAACAGTCCCATAGTCCGATACTACCTTTCTTATCTCATAATTAAATTAAATTAAAATATTTAATCGCCAGATACGTAAATGTAATTATTGTACCTTATAGGTCTTCAATTCATATTTTATATTAATATTTTAAGTCAATATCATTTTTAAGAGGTGTTACAAATGTGTGATTTCCTACTCATGTGAATATTCATTGTCAACTGTTTGTAAATTATTAATATTACTTATTATACATACTGTACATACTGTATAGATTGTAATTTTTCAAAGAAAGCCAACTATTTTCAAAAAAAAATCTAAGCGTTATATGAATTAAATTAAAACTACTAGTTTTAGGCTGGAGCTACAGATACAAATTCAATAAAATATTAAATCATAAAAAATAAAAGGGTATTTTTATGTTAGTTATTTATTTATGTGGTGTTTATTTATTTATGACTTAAAATGTTATTTATTTTATTACATGAAGATAGTTCCAGGCAAAAACTACTAGTTTAGTCAAGTTACATAATACTTTTGGCAATTGTGCCGATTTTTATTTTTTAAATTATTTATTTTTACTAGTTACTCTGTTTAAATATTAATACTTATACATTTTATGTTTTCTTTGTTAAAGATTCTAAAAGACTTTGATGTAGCATTCCCAAATTCATCTGAAAAGCTCTATCAAAATTTGCCACTCTTCAAAAAACGAATATTCGAGTTGGCAGCTGATAAAATCAAAAAAACAAAAGAACTTGCAACTACTGAATTATTGAATGAATATGTACAATTTGATGTTGTAGGTTAGTTATTGATCTGTATTTTAATGTATGGTTTTTTCATACTATATTAACAATATTATATAGGTATCTATAATAATACATATTATATAGATAACATTCATTTTAATTAAATATTATAAGTAATCATTTAATTGATATTTGCAGACAAAGAAGAAACATCAAATATTGCTGTGTTTTTATGTCTTCCGTTCATAATTGGTGTCAATAGTACTAGAGTTAAAAAATCTAAAACACTGGGCGACCTTCAAAACTTGAGGCCAGAGATGGTTTCATAACACATCTTAAAAGTGATGCGGAAATTCTTGAAACTGTCACTAGAAGAAGAGAAAAGTTGGCAGCATTTGGACAGACATTGCAACCTTTTATTGTAATTGTTGGCCCTACAATTGATGAGATATCCAGTTACTTGGTAATTGTTGACAACACTTTTTATCGTCTTAACTCAATAATCGCAGCAGTTGATTGTTGCTTTAAAGTCATTTTAACTTTAAATGCCGAATATCCATCAGAATCTGCATTAATTTGGTGCTTTATTCAGCAGGGATTTTATAATATTACTACTCCATGGGATAAAAATTACACAGTTGTTAATGCACTATTGTCTGATATTCATTGTATATCATAAAGTTAAATACCTATTAATTATAATCTACAATATTCAAAATGCCTTTTTGTTTTATTTGTAAATTAAAACTGAATAGCATTAATACTTTGTTTACTCATTTCAATTTCCAACATTCGCATAATAAATTTGATTCATTTTATTGTGCAGAAAAAGGGTGCTCTAGGTCTTTTAATCTAAAAAACTCTTTTAGGAAACATTTACAAAAACATATTTTAGATGAAGAAACACTTCCTTCGTCTTCCAAAACTGAGTTAAAAAACTATTTTCCTATAGAAAAAATTATAAATATTGATAAAAATTACTCTATTGATTTTTTTTCTGAGAGTCTGGATTCAACAGATAAAACTGAAATTATTAATCCTGCTGAAATATTGAATAAGTCTATTGCTAATTTTATTGCATCTTTATATGCTAATCCAATTATACCTAGAAATGTTATACAAATAGTTGTTGATGGTGTGGAACAGATTTTTTCTGAGGGTATAGTTATTTTTATTAAAAATTATGTTGAACAAGTATCAAACAAAAATAAAATGTCGGAAAATTGTTACTCTATATTTATTGATGTTGGAGATATTATAGAAAATGCTTTCAATTGTTTTAAAACTGAACATAAGATATTTCGTTATTTTGCTGAATCAGGATCTTATGTAGAACCTAAAGAAATTGTTATTGGCCAACATTTAAACAAAGTAATTAAAAAAGGTTTGTCTGTTCTTGAACCTATTAACTGTACTGAACAATTTATTCCATTGCGAAAAGTCCTGAAACAATTTTTTTGTCTTGAAAATGTTCTTGGTGAAACCCTGGAACACTTGGCTAATTTAATGAATGATAAAAGTGTTTTAAGGAATTTTGTTCAGGGTACCTTTTGGCAAAGCAGACTGAAAAAATTTGATGGTAAAACTGTCTTACCTCTCTTTATGTACTTTGATGATTTTGAAAGTGGTAATGTTCTTGGGAGTCATTCTGGTGTTCATAAACTGGGAGCAGTGTATGTATTGGTCCCATGCATACCACCTCACCGTACATCTGTTTTAAGTAATATTTTCCTTGCTTTACTTTTTCACTCTTGTGATAGAGTAGAATTTGGAAATAATATTATTTTTAATCCTTTAATTAATGAACTAAATTATTTACAGGAAACTGGTATAGAAATAGATACTCCTGTATTTAAAGGTGTATTATACTTTGATTTAGGATTAATCATTGGTGATAATTTAGGAATCCACTCAATTATTGGTTTAACTGAAAGTTTTTCCTCAAATTATTCATGTCGAATTTGTACTATAAAAAAAAATGATTTAAAATTTCAATGTTACGAAGATGAAAGTCTACTAAGGTCAATTGATCAATATTATATGCACTTAGAAATGAACAATCTAAGTGTCACTGGCATAAAAGAAAAGTGTGTGTGGTTAGATGTTAAAAATTTTAATTTGTTTGACCAAGTAGGCGTTGATTTAATGCATGATATTCTTGAAGGATGTGCTAAGTATATCATGGGTTTTATTATATTGTTTTATGTAAGGGACCTAAAATTATTTTCGTTACAAGTTTTAAATGATAGATTATTTGCATTTGATTTTGGACCTGAGAAAAATAAACCGTGTACAATTAATATGGATCACATTAATGTAGGAAATGTAAAACAATCGGCATCTGAAATGTTAATACTAGTAAGATATTTTGGATTAATTATTGGCGATCTTATCCCTATTGAAGAACCAGTTTGGGTTCTATATATAACTTTACGTAAAGTTTTAGATATCATGCTATCACCTGCGCTTGAAGAAGAAAGTATTTATTTACTAAAAACTTTGGTAGCAGAACTCAATGAACTTTATTTGAAATACAGCAAAAATTGTCTTAAACCTAAATTCCATTTTTTGGTACATTACCCCTCTATGATTCAAAAGTTTGGTCCGGTTAGTCATATTTGGACAATGAGATATGAGGCCAAACATAGAATTTTAAAAATTTGTGCTAGATCGTCTTTCAACAGACGAAATCTTTGTTTAACTTTGGCAATTAAACACCAATTACAACTTAATGAAACATTTTATAAAGGTCGATTATGTCCTACTATTGATGTAGGTCCTTGTAAGATAATTAATTCAATTAAATGTGAAAAAATTATTAATGAACTCAATCTTGATCCCAAAGAAACATTATTTCCTGTTACTTGGGCTACTGTTAAAGGTACATGTTACAAAATCAATAGCATACTAACTCAAGATATTATTGAAGATAATAATAATTTCAAATTTATTTCTGTCAAAAATTTATATATTTACAGTTCTGATAAAATAATTTTTGAATTTATCCCATTAATTACTTTATGCTTTAATGAACATTTCTGTGCCTTCGAAGTGAAATTCGATGAATTTGTAGATGGTAATAATTTTATTTTTCAAAATTCTTTAATTTCTCCTATACCAAACCATATAAATATTACTGCAGATGGAACTAAGTATATAACTTTAAGGAGTTCTCTGTAATGTATTGTTAACAAATTTGTAAAAAATTATAACATTTATAATGTTCCGTATACAAGTCTAAAGAACACTTTTAATAATAAACATTAATAAATTATCCCATTTATAATGGGATAATATAATATAATATTTTGTTTATAATTTGTTTTAAGTTTATTGTATAATGTATAAATTTAGGGTAAATATTATCATTATATTATAATATTGTATATCTGTATATATATTAATTATATTTTATAATATTATAATATCATTTAAATATAAAATAGCACATGTGCAAATTATTTAATAATGAAATTGTTATTTTTCCACTCTTTTCCTAATACAATGTTATTGACTAATGTTTCAACAGTCAATGAAAAAAGAGGCAGCTCCAGGCGCTGCCCCTCCCCCAAGTTTGTATTACTGAAAAAATATTGTTAACAATAAAATAACATAAAAAAAAAAACATATTATAATATCAACATTTTTCTGAAAATTACTTCCCACCCTCTCCCAACAATGCCACTGGAACCGCCCCTGAGTGAAAATTATATTTACTACTACAAAAATGTATGTATAATATTACAATATAATTTGTATAAGATACAATTCAATTTGGTTATAATTGCATATTAATAATTGTTCCCTTAACCAGAAATAAAGTATATCGAACATTACCATTTTGTTATCATTACAAAATGATTTGCTGCTCGCATGGTTATACATTGTTACTTCAACAATAGTATAAAACATACATCTGTTATTTATACAGAAAATATATTGCAAGCTATCATTTAGTTTTGTAAGGTGAACAAGAATGTATGAGTTTCTGTTACATTATTTCTGTAAGCATTACCAGATCAAGTTTAGTAGTAAACACAATTGCTATTGTAAAGACAACTAATAACAGCCAACCAGAATTAATTGGTATTCTTAATTAAAATTACTGCTGTCCCTGAGCCAACTGCTTTTAATAGTTGTGATTACCATAATTTGGTTAGCAGAATTAATTTTTTTTTTCAGTGTGAATGAAATTGTTCAAACGCTCTTTGATCGTTTTATGAAAGACCCAAAAAAAAAAAAATTATACAAAACGTTTTTTCAAAATAATTTCGGTGTCCCGCGAGGATTTACCCATTGCGATATCTCCTGAAATAATGGACATATCATAATTCTGATTTTTAATAAGACTCGCAGGAATAGAACTTACAAATATTTTATGTTTTAATTTATTTTAATGTTTTGGTAAAGTTCATATATTTTTATTTAATTATTTTCAAAAATCGAAGATAGCCATTTTGTGGGATTAATTTTTCTATGAAAATATTGACGTTTCAATTTTGATTTCGTAATTTCCTGATTTTAATATTTTTCAATTTCTAGAAAACAGTGGATATTAATACCATAGTGGCATGAGTGGTAACAAATACAGATAACCTGTATGTGTCCGCGACCCGCAGCTGCTCAATACGACCGTTAAGCATTCAGTGTTGCTCACCAATAAGCATATTATTTTACTTCTTCTAAATTTATTGAAGAAATTTTAAATAGTTATATGCAAAAATCAATAATAATGTACATAGTATTTGTAATATAGTATTATTAAGTTTATATTATAATAATAATTATAATTTATAATCTAATAGATAAATAAATTTATTTTGTTTATTTTGGATTTAGTAAAAAGTATTATGACCATCGCTTATAAATACGTAATAGTTAATATTATTATATTATTAATATTGTGCTGATCATACAGAATAAATAAATAAATAAATATTATTATAATATTCGATATTATAATCTTGTATCGCTTTCTGATAAGATTTGATAATAACTTATTGAAAAACAAATTATCGTTTGATAACAATTAAACTATATTATTCAAATTGATTAAAACTACCAAATCACAAAATATCGTGTCTAGTGTCTACCATTTCATTTTAATTAAATAATAATTATTCCTAATTTGCAGTTGTATTATAAACTCCTAAATCTAAATAGCCTTATAAAGCACATTTTAAACATTATGTATTGCTCAATATCTTAATATTTATAAAAAGTTACAAAGTAACAAAAGATTAACATGTGTTTTTAAATTTCAGATTATTCTCTACATAAAAATACCTATTATATTATTTAGTAAGTTTTAATGATATTATTTTATGGGTCCGACAAATTTTACCAATACCTACCTACTATTACATTAAAATTGTATTGTATTTAATGTATGAGTAATATTTTCATGGACTATCAGATTGAACACAATTTCTTTGAGAGATTTTCTTGGAAATATGTATATTTGAACAATTTTGTACCCTACCACCTATCATTAGTTGGTAAATTATAATTATTTTATTACCCTATTTAACTATATTTTACTAACAGATATAATTCTTTTATAAATATTTGGTCAGTAGTTTGATGCCTACAGAAATTCAAAAATAAAACATCAAATAACATTTTTCAATTCCTCAAAACTAAATTACTTAACAAGAAAAATTTCAAAAATATAATGAATTTTAATTTATAGCAAAATAATATTTTGTTACAAAGGTGAGTATTATTTGTTTTAAACTAATTTCTACTCAACTCAATTGTATTATATTCTTATTGAAGGGTAATCTAAGTAAGCAGTTATCAACATAAGTATTTTGGTGAGGTTTTTTTAATTTTGTTCTATAATAATCAATAAGCATATTACTATTACTTATTACCCTTACATAAAATTTTAATATTTTAATACTTACTAATTATACACTCATACTTAGAGTATGCTTATAGTTACCTTACAACCATCAGAAGACCAAAATAGTATCCAGTTCATCATCAAATGATATAAAGCGTGATCAAATGTTTGATTTTATCATAAAAATGTAAATGTTGGGTGGAATATAGCTTTAAAAATTTTGTGGTAATTACTAATTAGCCAGGTGCCCACCTACCTAATATTAATATTTTACCCCAGTAAATTATGAATTTAATAAATACCTACCTAATACAATAATCTTAACAGGAAAAGGTAATGCC